CTCTCTCTCTCTCTCTCTCTCTCTCTCTCTCTCTCTCTCTCTCTCTCTCTCTCTCTCTCTCTGTAGAGATTTTCATTGCTGCGTTGCGACATCACCGCAATGTTTCTTTCGCTTGTTTCGAACATTTGAATCTGAACCAACATTCTCTGAATATAACTCAAAGGTTTTCAATCTTTTTAATATTCGATTTTTGATATTGAGTTGTGCGTGGTTGCCTGTAAGCCACATGGGCTGACACGTATAGTTCGCCTAGTGATTTTAATTTGTTTCACTTTTTCCTGAATACGTTCTTTTTTTCAATTCAATTTGTTATCGAAATGTCCTGGATATTTAACGATATCCGTTCGTAGTATTTCTAGATTTTGCAATCTAGTTTTCGGAGATGGTTCTTTATTGTGTGCAAATGTTATATGTGGACATTTATTTACGTTTATTTTAGTTTTAATTGTTTCTGCTTAAGTTATCTTGTTATGTAAGTTATCTTGTGTCCGCGTGTTCGCAGTACAGTTATTGCGGTTTCTGTTATTTCCGTGTGGAAAGAATGATCGCGTCATCTGCGAAAGTATAAACGTCTATATTTGTTTACGTATCATTTATTCACATTCATTACATACCATCAAAGAAAAGCATTTGCAATGTTATATGTGGCGCGAATTAGATGATGATTTGTAAATTAGATTGAACTTAGACGCTGATCCAAATTCACAGCCGCTTTCCCCTGCCTAATAAAAATATTTCTTAAATTTCGTATGGATTCCGTTGCGTTGCAACCCGAGGACGGGTAACCACCACACATTCGGGTTGGAAGAATTTTAGGCTGATGATCGCATCGCGACGTCCCGATGATTTTAATTCGCAACAAATCGACCAGACCCCGGAGTTTATTAATTAGTCGATTACACAGCCGCGGTATCCGATAAATAGTAGTTTCATGGCCGATAAAATAATTTGTCACGGTGCTTTTGGTACGACCCGTTTCACGGCGGTTCCATTATTGTTTCGGCCGTATCTGTCCCGAGAAAGTAAATCGGCGTAATGAAAATGTCCGCGACACTAAACGCGAAGATCCTGCGACCGCCGTGGCTTTTAATTACGGCGTGCCGTTTTACGAGTAACCGGGAATGAATCTAAAAATTCCAGGCGTTCCCGCCGAGAGCTCGCAGCTCGTAGATGGGGCCCCATAAAAATTTCTTCCGGCGAAGTATGACCAAACCCCGCTGCTTCTTTTTCCGACCATCTCCTTCTTTCATTCTCCCCGCTGTCCGTCCCTCGCTGTTCCAGAGGTTTGTCTCTTTCCAGTTCCCATCTCGTTACGTTTCCGTCTCCCGTTCCTCCTCTCCTTTCTTTTTTCTCCCTCCCCGTCGCGGGTTCTTCTGGTCGTTTCGTTTGTTCTTTTCACTCGTCGCCCTTTCCGAGTGAATTATTCGACGCCATTAAAAAGCCACGAAGAAATACACAAGATGATGTCATGGCGTGCAAGGTTAATTCGGAAATGTAGCCGCGTGTTTGCCTCATTTAAGAAATCAACCTGATTTATACCTGAGTAGATTAAACGGATCTACGTGACGCGAAACAGAAATGCGCGCCGACGAACGGTCGGCCGACGACAGACCGGCCGACCGAAACCCGTAGATCCTGCGGCTCCTAGGTGTCCCCGTAATAAAGACATCCCGGCCCATTAAAATACTGGCGAGCAGGTAATAGTCGGTAAAAGTGGCTGCTCCACACAGCGAGTCTGCTCGGATCGGCGTTTACACGTTAGTTATCCTTATCGAATTGCGTAATGGAATACCGAACACGGTTAAATTGAAATCGGAGGAGGGAAAAATAAATAAAACGGAAACATTTCATCATATATCGCTGAAAGTACTAGTTTCCAAAGCGAATATCCTTATTTCGTAACAGCGAAATCTCTTGCGAATTGATTACGGACATTATGGATTTATTCCACACTCGAATTAATGAAAGCCCCGAGAGAAACGGGAACCTCGTTAAAAATTAATAAAGCGAACATTACGCTTTTAACGGACGAGCTCCCTTAATCGGCGAATCAAATGTTTCCTTAATCTCGATTATTTCCTAGTGTCGGCGCGGTTTGGAATATTTTCTATTCTTAATTGATTAAAATATCAAAACTGGTAGCCGAGTTGCGTAAACCCAGCCAGCCCGGCATCGAAGTCGCTCGAACTGCGCAAGCATTAATTACAATTTTGATTTCATTATATTAAACTCGGTCGTGTTAAGTGAATTAATAAAATGCATACGTACGCTCCGCTGGAAGATAAGCGAACTAATTAACACGCATCGAGATAAAAAACCCAACAAACCCGTCAGTCCAATTTCTTTTTTTTTATCCCGTTGAAACCGTAGGCGATACCATCACCACGCATTGAAATCACTCGGATTATGCTCGCACTAATTCCCCTCACGATTTAACGATGCCTATTAGTTTTACGACAAAACCTCGGCTAATTAAATATTGATTATTCTCCAGCAGGACCACATTCTGCGATAAAAGGAATTAGTAAGATAAAGAAAAAGGACTCGTATCTCGAAGAAGGAGTGTTTCCAATGCGGTATTTTTTCAGACGTTCACCCTTTCACGTTCGGAATCCACGGATCAATGTTGCAGCGACTGTGCTACCCGTGCTGCGACCACATGTCAGAATCCATAATGCGCCGCAATTCATGGAACATTGTAAATAAATACTATTACACAAATAGATTGTCCGAACGGACGTGTTGACATTACAGTTATGACTACTTTAGGATCATGGCCAATTGCACGGTGTGCTGCGTATCTCGTTCTTGGGAAACGTTTGATTTCTGATCAGCCATGCATCAGCTATGGCTATATGTGCCCATAATTATGAAAGTGGTCTAAGTCAAAATTTAAAAAGAAATGAATTTATCACTTATTTCACACACGACATGATTTTAAACTAAATTTATTCAATGTAATTTTTACGATATCGTCAAAAATGAACCTTTAGATAGTAGTTGTAATTACAAAGTTATACGGAATTCGTTTAGTGTTAATTATGAAAGTGGTCTAAGTCAACATTACTATGAATTGATCGAAAATTGTAGAAAAAGAATACATTTTCGATCAAACGAATGTCGCAGCCGGATTTTATTTCAACGAAATCACTTGAAAAATCAATAACAAGGAGAGTCAAAAATACCGCGGGCGAATCTGTCTCTTAGCTAAAAATTCAATGGATGAGATTCTTGAAAAATGAACCTTATAAAATGTTTTGTAAGACTTCTTTAGATGATTCTGAATTCCAAGTTTTGGATCTTTCACCTAAAAGTGGAAGACCAAAAATATACGAAAATATTCAATTACTTCCATTATACAACACCACTAGACCAGTAACGGAAGAAAAACATAAAGATCTTATGTGTTTACTACCATA